CTTCAATTCCCAGTGAAACGGCGTGGGTCGAGCCAACTCCTCCGTGCTTACAACCTCGTCCATATCCGGATGTTTGTATCTGACAAATTGATGAAGAACTACCCATGTCAATCTGACCGGTGCGTAAAAATTACCTGATGCGTTATATAAATTTTTGCGATATCATTATGATCGGCTCTCTCTTTCTTTACACGATGAAGTGTAAGCGAGTGGTGAACGACGTCGCTGTCGGTGAAAGAGTCTGTGCAATATGCAATTTATATAAAGAATCAACTTGATGCGCGCAATGGCACAATGTTACCTAACGTAGAAAGTATATTCTCTGTATATCATCATAAAAATGATGTCAATGATATTCATATTTTTGGGTTTATTGATGGGAGAATTGAAACGTCAATGTAACATTTATTTGCGCAATATGGCAATTCTTCCGCGTTGTATCGTGTGAAGGTTATAATATTGCGCCAAATGGACACTTACAAATCGTTGCTTATCGTTTAAGTAAAAAAATTTTCGGCTCTTAACAGTTGATTTTGATGAATGACGATTCGAAGAAATTGGATATGCTACAAAGGTAATCGTTGAGATTAATCATACTAACAATGAGAGACAAGTTTTTGGTATTTCGGACTATAATTGCGTGGTAAAATAGTTATGATTGGAAGCTCTATGTTTATATTTTTGTTACTATAATGTTAGTAGTCCCTTAGAGAAATTTAATACTGTAAGTATTAAATTGGTTAGTAATTAATTACTTATTTGAGAAATATTAAAAGCACTAACATTAATGCTTTTAATATTCAAAATAAACGATGACCATCCAATTTAATATTTACAGTATTAAATTTTTTTAAGGGATAACAATTACATTTAGAATTTTCTATACAGATCATTCCAGCAACATTTTAACATTCCAGCAATACGCATTTCAAATGTTGCTACAAACTTTTGTGCTATATAGATCTATATCAATAAGAATAGATGACTGTCCCCGAAAACGACTATAAATTATTACAATCACAAATGCTGAAAACTTTTCTCTCAGTGCACGATATGCATGATTTATAATTCACCTCTGTCTCACACGATAAACGATCGCATGATTATCGAACAATTGCTTGGACTCAGGTTCCTCATTTTCATTGGCATCTTCTATGGATTTCAGCATTCTCTTCCGTTGCTTGAAATTGTGCAGATTTTGCGTTCTCATCTCGGGCCCATTCGCTGTCACGATGCGTGTCTCGGCTGGTATTATATCGCCTGTTGTATTCCGTTGAATGAGACTTCCATAGTTCTCATCATCCGAACGATCTTCCATTAGAAGATCGCTCGTACGATTAATCATGACTTCGTACAAATTCGTGGAGTTAATAGGCTTTTTCGAGAGATTTGGTAATTTCTTGAGAGCATTTTGTAGTATGTATATATGTTTTGTTTCCTGATTGATTTTACTGTTCCCCGTAGCGGACGTAAAATCGTACATAAATATCGCCACCTACGATGATATTAAACTAAATTCATTCAAATTGTGTTAATTCAACTTAAGATAAATATGTTAGGAAATAACACAAATATTACGCAAAAAATTAAAACGAAAAATATAAAAATGTTGAATATTAATTTAATACAAAATGTTCAAATAATACAATGTAATTAATTAATTCGGTATGTTAAAAATTTAATACAAAGATTTAACAACGGTTTTAACACAAACGTAAAATATTTTTTTTTATAATACACAGATGTTAATAAAATTATTGTTTTTAATATCTGCGAGATAAAATAAAATTCAGCTTGTTTTGTAAAATTTCAGTTAACTAAACGTTAACATTGCGCTACACTGAGAAAAAAATGCTGTTGATTCAATTAAAGTCTATATTACGGGCTGTCACTAACATAAGTGATTAATTTATGTATATTTTTATTGACATAAAGACATAAATTATTATTTCAATAATCAAGGCCTTTATATCAATAAAAATATATATGAATTAATTACTTATGTTAGTGATAGCCCGTAATATAGATTTTAATTGAATCAACAGCATTTTTTTCTCAGTGTACTTTTGAGAGTAGCACAATGTTGATTCTTAATTGACATTGAAATTCTAATGTCCAGTTTCACTACAGAAAGAAAATAAGTGATCGCAAGGCGAAATTGTAAAATTAACAATTTATAAATCAGCGAATGATATTTATATATACTTTGAAACAATAGAGGTGCAATTAATCCATGTTCCCAACTGGCAGACGATGGTTAATCTGTACCGAAACACAGTTAACGCCCTATATGTGAAGCGTGTAGAAATCTTCGCTCGCTTGACTCCCCATGCATAGAAGGAATACCCAAAGATTCACGGTGAAATTACAATTCCACACACGTCTTCAACATTAATCACCGGAGAAAACGCGCGAACTATAATTATGTCTATTGTTCTTCATGCGTGGAAGAAACTTGCGAAAAACTCCGTACCGTTTGATTATTGTCATCTCGGAGGCACGTGTAACAAAATCGTGCGAAACAGGATGCGTCGCGAATCAACAGACTTTTCGATGTGCAAGGTCATCGTCCGACAGAAGTTGTACGATAGAACATGTAGCGAAATCATCGATTGTAAGATATGAATGGAGATGAATAATATACGTAGATAGGCACACATCACTTCATCTATTCAGTTGTAACTCATTATTTCATACTCCTAATCCTGAAGACTTAATCATCTTAATACTTTGATTACTCAGCTGATTTTGGCATTAAACTTAATAAATCTAGTGTATTATTTTAATATTTCATTGTTAATGTTTTATTTAATATATTTTATATTGTTTATTCAATGTCTTAAATATTTAGTAAAATCATCTTTAATCGGGTCATTCACAACAAGGCCGTGAATTTTACGTATCACTAAATATGGGTAACTTGCGTGCGTCCCATTTGATGCTTGCAAGGCTCGCAAGCATTATTCATTCTTGTTTTACATTTGATAGACAACAAAAATAAAATGATTCCAAGTGTTGCGAGTGCCAAGTGACACGCAGCCAAAATGTTAACAAGATATTTGTAATATGATATTAATGTTTTCTCATCAAACAGAATCATTATTATGCCACGACAAATGCAACCAAAGGATTAAATCCATATTTATATAACAAAAAAAGATATATTGATTGTCAAAATATGTAAAAAAAAAATTTTAATATTATACTCGATAAAACAGTAATTAAAATTATTTGTCATGTAATTATGGTAATACCGATTAATATTACGTTTTTTTTAATTTATCTACTTTTGAGCTTTAGTTATGAGCTTCAGCTATAAATTTCAATTACCTATAAGCTTCAGTTGTGTCCTGAAATATTTCCTAACACTTGACAAAGGTAACAAATAATTAATTAATAATTCTGCACACTCGATTACTCACCAGTATTACCGTTGCGACTACCATAACTCCGATCGCAAGTTTTCTCACAATTAAACCGTAGCGACTCCTGTTATATCGTTCACCGCGATCAGAATAAAGCCCTAGCTCAGATGTACTTATGGCGGATCTCCTGCCAGTTTCAAGCATCGCCTTCTGATAGGTCTGGTGACTGATGTCCTTTACGATTACACATTAGGACGATACTGAGCTTAATTAATCAGCTTACCGTTGACATCCCTCGAATTGTCGATTTGTTTCACTTTGCCATTGTCGTCAGTTGTAAACGCAAACGATCAACAGGTGTTTGTCGGTAATGATTATTTTAAAAAACGAAAAAGACTGTTTTAGCCCGATGGAACTGTTTTAGGCCCGACTGTTTTAACCCAATAGTTTACTATTTCAAACTATATAGAGACACACGACGTTGCTCTTTCGTCGCTCCCCACGCAACTAACGATCTAGCATTTCTCGACACGCAGTTTTCACTTAGTGATTCTATCAGTGCCGTGGAGATTTCCTTTGTTTGTGGGGGAGGCTCGTTATGGTAAGTAGAAGGCAGGTGGTTATGGGCTACTTATTTCGATGCCAGGATTCGAGTGCCACCGGAGCACACATGCGAGGAAAATCTCTCACCGTTCCGGTGCTTGACCTGCTAAATACGCTATTAATGTTCCATTTTCGTCCACTCATTCGTCAAAGCGACACCGTAATTTCTTGCCTGTGATATGCACTTTTGTCACAAGTGTCTACACGCAAGTATCAGGAATATTAGAAAGCGATCGGACGTTTACAGCGAAGATCCTCGGATTTTAATTATATCTTTATTATACGGAATAGGTATTTATGTGTACAAATCTATAGAAATTTACTGTAATCGCTGCGAGTTATAATAAAAAATTTCCTTTAAAAAAACTGACTCATTAACATATTATTTAAAAAAAAAAATATTTGTAATTATCATGAAAAAGTCAATAATCGACTGTAATACTAATAGTCTTAAATACACTTCAGACTAAAAGTTTGGAAACACTTTTTAATTGATCTATTTAACAATAAAATAATTCTTTATATTCAATGATTGTTATTAAACCTAAAGAATTATTGTTAAAAAGACATTTTTATGGATATTTAAGAAAGTAATCCTATAAATGTCAATTTTTTAATTTATAATGTTTTCAAATTGTAGTGTATGTCAAACTTTTAATCTATATCTGTCCAACAAAATATTTTTATGGTTAAACATTTTTAATGCGTACGTGGTGTATGTTAATTTGTTAATTTATTTAAGAAACAAAATAAAACTGTGCAATTATAGTTTTTTATACATATTATAATTACGTTCTCAAATGTACAAATATGTGTTTCTCACTGATTGTACATATACAATTCTGTGTATATAAATATATACATATAAATATGTATATATTTATATATATATATATACCTTATTTTCATATTAAATGCCTCGCTAAATTTTATGAAATGTAAAATACGAAACATTTGGAAATTATTTCTTATTTCGTGTTTTTTGTATCAAATTAAAAACACATTTTACGTTAAAGTGGAAAAGTATGTAAGTACATTTTTCTAAAAATTTTTATTCATTTTTTGTACTCGTTACATATGTAAAGAGACATTCGTACGTTGGCCGACTAAATTCTTTTTTAGAAAGAATAGTGTGGCGAAAATGATCGATATATAAAAAAGGTGATACTCTCTAAATATTTAGCGAATGATTCAGCGTTACCTATATCGACCATTAAATAATCTTTGTTAATATTAATATTACGCATACTAATATTCAAGATTTCGTTAATCGGTAACGCGCTGCAAGCTGCCCGTGTCAGCTCATGTCACTCTCATCGTTTGCGAGTTTCAAACGGAATGTCGGGAATCGGGTAATTATATCCTAAAGTTGGCCTAGGTGTTGTAGGCGGCAGAGTTGGAGGTGGTGCAGGCCTTCCAGTTGGTGGCGGCAAAGTTGGCGTGCTGGGTGTAATGCTGTAAATAGGTTCAGGTGGCGGTGGCGGCGTCACAGTTGGATATACTGGTCTTGGGGTTGACGGCGGAAGATACGGTGGTGGTCGAGGTGGAGTAAAAGTTGACGGAGTGGTCGGCGAATAGGCAGGCGTGGTCTGACTATACGTACTACTCGGAAATGTTGTTCTTATAGATGGAGTATATCTTGTAATGGTAGGAGTATATCTGGTCGTAGTTGGGGTGTATCTGGTCGTGGGTGGAGTGTATCTGGTCGGGGGTGGAGTATATTTGGTCGTGGGTGGAGTGTATCTGGTCGGGGGTGGAGTGTATCTGGTCGTGGGTGGAGTGTATCTGGTCGTGGGTGGAGTGTATCTGGTCGTAGAAATTTCGGGCTCAGAATAAGGCGGAAGGTAAGTAGATGGCTGGACAGTGACTCGCGTACTGATTTGAGGAATAGGTCGAGTAATATATTGTGTAGTAATTCTTGGTGTAGGTCTTGTGGTAAAACGAGTAGATGTTTTCGTAGTATACCTTCCAAATTCAGTAACGAATGATCCAGCTTCATATTCTATAGGTCCTTGTGTTGTTGTCCTTGGTGGTACATAAGAAGGTCTAGTTGAAAGTGGAGGCAAGTAAGAAGGTGCGGTTTTAGGTGGAGGTGGAGGAGGTGGCGGTGTTCTTGGGGGTGGTGTTCTCGGTGGAAGAGTTTGAGGGGGCGGGATATATGGTGGTGGAGTTTGTGGGGGTGGTACGTATGGTGGTGACGTTCTCGGTGGAGGAGTTTGTGGAGGCGGTGTATATGGGGGCCTTGTGTATGGTGGCGGCGTTCTCGGTGGAGGAGTTCGTGGAGGTAGAGTATATGGTGGCGGCGTTCTTGGTGGTGGAGTCTTCACAGGTGGTAAATACGGTGGTTGTGTTCTCGGTGGAGGAGTTCGTGGAGGTAGAGTATATGGTGGCGGCGTTCTCGGTGGAGGAGTTCGTGGAGGTAGAGTATATGGTGGCGGCGTTCTCGGTGGAGGAGTTCGTGGAGGTAGAGTATATGGTGGCGGCGTTCTCGGTGGAGGAGTTCGTGGAGGTAGAGTATATGGTGGCGGCGTTCTCGGTGGAGGAGTTCGTGGAGGTAGAGTATATGGTGGCGGCGTTCTCGGTGGAGGAGTTCGTGGAGGTAGAGTATATGGTGGCGGCGTTCTCGGTGGAGGAGTTCGTGGAGGTAGAGTATATGGTGGCGGCGTTCTCGGTGGAGGAGTTCGTGGAGGTAGAGTATATGGTGGCGGCGTTCTTGGTGGTGGAGTCTTCACAGGTGGTAAATACGGTGGTTGTGTTCTCGGTGGAGGAGTTTGTGGAGGCGGTGTATATGGGGGCCTTGTGTATGGTGGCGGCGTTCTCGGTGGAAAAGTTTGTGGAGGTGGAGTATACGGTGGCGGTGTTCTTGGTGGAGGAATTTGAGGAGGAGGTGTATATGGGGGCCTCGTGTATGGTGGCGGCGTTCTCGGTGGAAAAGTTTGTGGAGGTGGAGTATACGGTGGCGGTGTTCTTGGTGGAGGAATTTGAGGAGGAGGTGTATATGGGGGCCTCGTGTATGGTGGCGGCGTTCTCGGTGGAAAAGTTTGTGGAGGTGGAGTATACGGTGGCGGTGTTCTTGGTGGTGGAGTCTTCACAGGTGGTAAATATGGTGGTGGCGTTCTCGGTGGAGGAGTTTGCGGAGGTGGTGTGTATGGGGGCCTTGTGTATGGTGGCTGTGTTCTCGGTGGAGGAGTTTGTGGAGGCGGTGTGTATGGGGGCCTTGTGTATGGTGGTGGCGTTCTTGGCGGTGGAGTCTTCACAGGTGGTAAATATGGTGGTAATGTTCGCGGTGGAGGAGTTGGTGGCGGCACAGTTCTTGGTGGCGGTGTTCTCGATGGCAATGTAAATACTGTACTTGGACTTGTATAAACATATCCACCGCTTGTTACTGGAGGTGGTGTTCTTGGTGGCGGTGTTCTAGGCGGCGGTGGTGGTGTCGGGAATGGAGTCCTCGGGGTTGTATATGTATATCCTTGTGTCACACGTGTTGACGTTCTTGGTGGTGGTGGTGGTGGTGGTGGCGGTGGCGTTCTTGGTGGTGGCGGTGGTGTTCTTGGTGGTGGTGGTGGCGGTGGCGGTGGCGGTTTTGGTGGTGGCGGCGGTGTTCTAGACGGCGTTGGCGTTGGGAATGGAGTCTTCAGGGATGTATATGTATATCCTTGTGTCACCACATTTGTTGATGGTCTTGGTGGTGGTGTTCTTACCGTTGTCCTTGGAGTTGTATAAGTAAATGGTGGTAGTGTCACCGTGATTGGCCTCAATGTTATTATGCTTGTCCGTGTCGTCACTCTGTCGACGTAATCATAGCTTACGATGTGTGTTTGATGAGAAATTATTAATTATTGTTACAAAATATAGCTTGGTCACAAATTTTTTAAAGACAAATCTAATCAGATTGATAGTTAGAAAAAGATATCATATCACCTTGTTTCTAAACTGTATTTCTTAAAAATAAAACTTTGGAAACATAAATACATATTAAAAAATAATAAAATTGAAAGACCGCTAATGTTAAACTTTAAATTAATAAGCGCCATAACGGTCAGAACGTTAAGATGTTGAACTATTATAAATTCATTTAAATGAATTAATTTCAGAAATGATAATTGCGTGCCGATATGGTTGTCGGACTTTCAACGCAATCAAATCTGAAAATATTAATAATCCCCCCCAAATTTCCCAACTTAACATATTAACTTTAACATATTAAAAAGTTTCTTCTATCAGATAATCTAATAATTATTGTAATACTGTGTTGAATTTTGAAGTATTATAATTAAAATCAAAATTTAAATACTAATTGGGTTCTCGAAATTAAAAAACAATGATATAATACGGACAATGAGCGTTAACACAGCGCGGGAATATTATAATTAACTTTTTCACAAGATAAGCAACAAGATAAAGGACCCATTTAGAAGATCTATATTAGTAGTGGTGACTTTCCTCTATATATGTATCAAAAGTGATATATAAGTATTTTTGGATTTTCGGATTTTTGACTACTTACGCAGGGGGAAAAGTGAAAGGCTTAGATGGTGGCTCATAGATGTAACCCTGGAACTGTGGGCTGTTTTCTATTGCACGTTTGCTTCTCTCACTGCTTGCATCTGTATGACACGTGGAAAGCACGGCCACCAGAATGGCCGCCCACAGCAGCTTCCACTGTAACACAACTTTTATTAAAATTTCACCATAGACGTAGTACAGATTAAGCATACCATTACGACCAAGCAATGGTTTATGGTAGCCCGTAAATGAGAAATAGAGAAAGAATACAACTCAGATTTCTTGTTATTTTCTCTATTAGAAGATAGTTTTCTACCTGTTAAAGAGAGAAAAAAGATTTGAATTGTTTTCTCTCTTACACGTACGACATATTCGATGTATCTATTATGTCTATGATAAAAACTAACTTGATTATGTTTACATGTATGTTTGATGAACGATAACTATCATTAGAAATATTTTTTGCGTTAAAGCTTCTTAGATAATTATCGCGCCAAGAATCGTTGATAAAAAGAGCAAATAAAAATTACTTCTCTTTCCCGTAATAATTAGTCGAACAATCACGTATGCAATTGTAATATATATTGTAATGTATCGAAGATCATCTCCGTGGGATAATCTCACGCTTCACCTACGATGATCTTACATAACTCATCTCGGTCACGAGGCACTATGTAATATGACGATGATGATCGTGAAAGGTTTGCGAGTATAGAATATGGTGTATCGTCTTTTCATTGATTAACGCGCGTGTTTGGCGATGCAAACAGTGCCATTTACTACAACTATGCGTGCTTCTTATTAATATATATATATATATATATATGTTTGTGTGTTTTCATACTGTAGAGCACGTGCTTCATTTTAAACAATTAAGCATTAGCTATTATAAACGCTTTTTAATGTAGATTTTATATATTTATTGTATTGGATTTTATTTTATGATATTTATAAAGTTAAATATTTTTAGTATGCTGTTTTTATTTTTATATTTAATTTCTCATTGCTTTTCTTATTTTTGTATTTGGTATATTTAGTGTGCAACATATTTTATATTTAAATCCTTTGTTATATTATAACAAAAATGTCTCTCTATAACAACACGTTTTGTTTCTTTAATATGTATGGATAACCTGCAAGTCGAGATGTGGTCTCATTAATGGGTTCAAAGGTGCCTGTTTCATGTCATCAGATTCAACTGGCACCTCTGACTGACGAATTAAATAGCCGTAACCGTACGCGACGGCATCTGTGTTCGATGAACGATGATCCAGTCTTGAAGAAGCGCGTCCGGTGACCTTTAGCTTTATAATTTATATTGAAGGATGGTAGCGCGTGCGCCACGGGAAAAAGATAGCCTCTCCCTTGTATCTTGCTTAGTGTGAAAGGTTTCATACAAGTGCTGAAGTCGGTTCACCAAAGAAACGATACAGATTATGAAATTGTGGCAAATGTCATTATCGTCCTAAAGTTCATAATGAAATAAAATTAAAAAAAATAGAATTTACAATTTTATAATTAAAGCTTTTAGTTCTCAACGTATAATTAAAATCTAATTAAGGTTGACTTTAAATAACGCATAAATAAATAGAAATTTGTAGAGAATTTATTAGAAGAATTTTAAGAATATTGTTTTATTAGGATAATACATACCTGAAGAGTTCTTAACGAATTGAATATTTTTAATTTTCCCATATTTCCGTTAAAAAATTTCAAATTAATATTTCGAGTTTGTGGGCTCACAGAATCAGAAGTGAATGTATAGATATTAAAATAAGCGTTTAAATACTGTAACAATAAAAATAACAATACAAAATTTATGAAAGATTTATGATATGTAACATGTATAGTTTGGATTTAACATCGACTTTCATATGTTTTACATAGTTCCTTTCTAATTGCTCCGTAGTTATGGAATCATAACGTTTGTTAGCGTTAAACATGTGAGCAACATCGTGTATATTGTCACAACACAGTATATGTAATAAAATTATTATAAAAGAAGTGCAGGGATTATAACTAACGTGTAAATATTCTTAATAATTATTATTATTTAAAAAGAGATATATGCATAATGTTATAAGAGACTCGCACAAATATATATGTAAAATGATAAAAATATAAAGCATTTAAATTTATAATAATTCATTTAAAAACAAAAATTGATAAAAAAGATCAAAGAAATAATGGTTACTTTAAATCAGAGCTCATTGTAAACAGTTTGGAGCAAAATATTGCAAGTTAAACTTTTATAATTCGTAAGGAAGCTTATAATACATTGTTAAATCAAAGATTGATATTATAAGAAACAATATAGCTATTTCTACACCTTCCTGATAATATCTTCGTGGCATCATCTAAGTTAATCGATTATGTCTATTTTAACTTTTCACTATATCTGTTCCACCTTTGGCCTTTACCATATTTGCTTTAAACAGGTTCCTATCGTAACATGTCATTGCAGGAACCCTATTGTACTAACAACAGAGAATTCTCTCTTGTTTATGTCGGCACAAAAATCACAAGAATTTTAACAGTCATGTAGAATAAGTCAATGACAACTTATGTTCTGAAATAGATTTTCGCTGCTTACGCAAAACTATTATTTAAAAGGCGTTATTGACCAAGTCTTATTTACGAACATAATTTTTTATTTAAACTAAGAGAGATCTATATTATATATTTTATATCACATTTAAAATAATCTTATCAAACTAATTTGCAGTAAAATTTGTATTTGTTAATTCTAAATACATAGTTTTAAATTAATTTTATTTATATCCTTATTTAATAAGTTTAGTTGTTTATTTGCTCTAAAATGGCTAATCATGAATTCGTGTCGTGACAAGGATACATTTACATACACACTTCCTCAAGGCATTCATTAAGACTGATCCAGGAGACTGATTCGCGTAGAACATCGTTATTATGTAAATGAAAACACTGTATAGGAAGTATCCGTTTTATTGAGACCGATATAAGCTCAAGTCTCTATGAAAATTACACAGTTATGTAAATGTAAAGGGATTCGCGAACAATATTCTTGCAAAGTGTCTGCAAAATAGCCTATTATTTCATGAAAAAGACAGGACCGTGATTTGCAAGGTACAAACCGTTTCCTCCCTCTTTCCTCTCGCAGAATGCTAGAAGTTATCTTTGATGGAATTTATGACGGGATTTATTTGCAAACCATTTACCGGTGACATGAGTAATCATCTTATTCTTGCAATTGTAGGATGCTCAAAAGACTTTAAGAAAGAGGAGGAGGTTGCGCTTTCTCAAGAGTCTTGAGGGATCATTTAAATTTAAAACGCAACGCAATAGCACGTAAAGAAGCTTTCGAAACTCCGTTGTGCAGGTACACGCGCGCATCATTTTTATCTCAAACGATTCTCTCGCTGCACGTGACAAGTAGGGCAATTATTAGAGCATAATAAGTGCGGCCACCCGGTAGTATGCTTATCCTAATTTGTTCAGCGCTATGCGATAAGTGCGATCCGTGCAGATTAAGTAAACAATCGATCACTCTCACAAAGTGATCCTTAGATATTTCGTTTACATTTGGAGAAAGCGAGAGTTCGCGAGCCGACCGATAAGCGACATGGACTTCGATGGCCTTTTTCTCATTGGGTCGACATCGTGTAAGGTGCAAAATATGTTACGCAACGCAATCGAGTGTTAAAATTTCTAATCATGCGGCTGTCGCTAATGGACATACGGAAGAGAGTCGATCAAATATCACGAGGTATAGAATTTCTTTTGTGCGGATCTTTCTGAGAAAATTGCACGGATAAATGAAAATATCCTCCAGAAAGTGTTGCACACGTCATTTACAGAAGTAGATTTTATTATAATAATTAAAAATGACATGGTGCAATTAAAAACTTTCTATAATATATAACCCAGGGTATTAAAATTTCAGTTGATATAATAATTACTCAATAAAAGATTTATGTAATTTCTGTAAATGTCGAAGGTGAAACCACGAAAAATCTTTATGAGACCTTAATTAAATGGTATCCTAAGAATTTAACAAATTTATAATTTTCATGAATAAGTAGATTCTATTCCAGTATCTTCGAATGCTTGTCGGATTTTGTATGCAAATTATGTAACCTTTCCTGTTAAATAAATGTCAAGGATTTAACAAGAACAAGCTCTTAATATCTAAAGAGGTAACATTTGGATATGTTGAATTAATATTCTGAATGATGTTCGCGTAAGGAACATATGCATGGCAATAAAAGTCCTGGTAACGTCTAACCAGTAGTCACATTACATGTTTTGTAATAACGGATTATCGAATCAATAGTGTCCATTAATATATAATTATGTTATTGATGGAATGTTGATTGTAAAAAACGGGCAGTAAAGAGATTCCACAATAAGTTCACAAGTTAATAATCCTTGGTCATACAATCTCATGATTATATGACCATTTATAACAGCTGGTTCATGAAGCTGTATCATTAGTATTCATCTACTGCAGCATACATTACGAAAGCAGATAATGTAACAAATGTACAGCGCATGCTAAAAGGAATTCGGAAAAGTTAATGTAATATTTCATATTATAATCGTTTATGCAAAAATTAGACAAAATGTAAGCAAAATATGCATAAATAAATAAAAGCATATACAGGGTGTTTCCAAATTAAATGGCAAAACTTCGGGAGCGTGTAGAGGAGTAAAAAACTAAGAAAAAAAGTCCTATAGACATATGCTCCTTTTTGCTTTGTTTCGCAGGAAATCACGAAAAAAGAAAAAAATATATTTAATTTATTATTTTAATTATTTTATTTATAAACTTTTTAATGAAGATTTTGTTCGAAATGTGCACCTCTTGCAGCAATACAAGCATTGCATCTGTCAAACACGGCTCTTGTAGCAGCCAGGCACTGTTCTTGCGATATTCTGTTCGCTGCAGCTACGATACGATTTCTCAAATGTTGCTCTGATTGAATAGGCGAAGAATAAACTTCTTGCTTCAGAGTACCCCATGCATAGAAATCTAATGGCGTTAAGTCGGGCGAACGAGTTGCCCAATGTACTGCTCCTCCACGTCCAATCCATCGTTGTGGGAATTTTCTATCTAACCAGGTTCTAGCGACTCTGCTGTAATGAGCAGGGCATCCATCTAATTGAAACCACATTTC